GGTGTTATAGGTACGGCCAAGTAATGGTACATGCTCTTCTAAAAAAAGAACAACAACACAAAGAATAAATAACAAAATATAGGATACGAGTACAAGTAAAATCATATATTTGCATAAATAAACATACAGCTCTATGTGCACGCATACTCAAATGAAACTGGTCATTTTTGCATATTTACATATGTACAACCATATGTACATTGGACCATACCAGGACAAAGTTTAGCGCAGACCCCTGAGTTTAAAGTACTTGTGCAAGGTAATTTGGAAAAACATAAAAAAAATTTTTAAAATTTTTAAAGTATAATAAGTACAATATCGATGTTCGTGTCGCGAGGAGACAATTTTTCCCCCAAAGCTCATTGACCTCAAGTACCCGTTGTTGTAGGCACCCACCAGACCTCAGTTCTTACCAGCCTAACGTACCACCCTAATGTCAATAAATTAAAGCTCTCCAAAAATCGTTAAACTTTTGCTAAGTAAGTATTTCGATTATTCCAGTAGAACTACCGAGTTCTGTAAAAAAGTAAAAAAAAAAATAAAAATTTTAAATTGCCCGACAAAACTTCCCTAGACTCAGGGGTGTACGGCGAAATTTGTTTGTTTGCTAGTACGGTCCAAGGTGCATATATTCTAAGTGTATGGTTAAGTGATGAGTACGTAAGCTCAAATGATTGCAAAAATCCAGCAAGACGAAACTTAAAATTTTGTATTATTTTGCGTTTAAAAATATACATATGACCGCGCGTCTATTCTGTACATAAATAATATCTATAAAATATTCAGATGCGTATACACTACATATAGGTATGTACATATGCACGAGTATATTTAATGTAAAACGAAATACATATTATCTTCACCAACTTACAGGTACTTAATAAATGAAAAGAATTTCAATTTAATATATGTATGTATGTACGTATATCGATTGTTTTCAGGAAGAACGTGATATTCCAAAATATACATAAATACATACATACATCCACAGAAATACGTTTACTTATAATTATAGTTATAATCATTTCAAAATATTAAATATGCCTTCCTAAAAAAAACTAAAAAAGTATACTTCCACGTGCACATATCGTGTCAATTTTAAGAAAATACTTTACTTTAGATCTTTAGACTAAAAAATAGGCGCAAGAAGAGCAAACGTATCAATTCCATGACAACCTACTACATTTTGTATGGGGCACCGCTTTACTTTGTTCTATGTGCAAAATAAGGACTTCCACAAAAAATTTTAAATAAGAAAAAAATAGTTGTAAATGCGTTTTGGGCTGAGGCAGTCCGTTCTAACTCCCCATATAAAAAGTTTCTTGGTATTTTTTTTTCAAGTTAATAATTTGCAAACTGGTATTACTTAGTACTTAAGAAAAATTTGAAATATACTAAAAAATACAGTCTTTTGAGCTTAATATTAAAAGAATTCATCTGGCGATTGATGAAATTACGTGAATAGTTTTCAATTATCAGGCACATGCTGCAAAACGTACGATTTGAAATCGATGCGATTTGCAAACTCTTTTTGAATATTTGTAAGGAAGGTAATAAATATTTCAAATGGAAATGGCGAGAAACACATCATTTACGTCATATCCATCGATTCAGTGACAAATTTTGCCTTTTTGTTAAGAAATCTCCAAAGTAGGGTTTGCAAATCGCAAAGATTTCAATTCGTACGATTTGCAGCACATGCCCGAATATCTCAAATTTATTGGATTTTAATTTTTTTAATCTTGGTAACGAGCCCTAAAAATGATTTAAAATTTTTGAAACTTTCGTAGAAGTCCTTAATATACAAAGAGCAAAATAACAATATGTATTTGGATCTTGATTTTTTAAGGACCACCCTACTACCTACCTTAATATTTTTTAAAGTAATAATGATTATTCAAGATTATCCCCGAAAGTTTTATAACATTTCTTCGCTTTCGCTTGCACTATGTCCACATATATCGTTGTAAAGATCATACAGCTCATCGTTAAATCGTCTGCGGTATTCGCCATCGCCAGCGTGTAAAGGTCCGCGCGTATTTCACTATTAAGTTATGTTAATATACATTTGGGGTATTCACAACGGTGTCGTAAGTGTCATATGTCGTAAACTTGAAACGGCTAAAAATATTTTTAGGAGGTTCGTAATGTACTAAAATATTTAGTTGCATTTCAGCAGCGAATTTAGATAGGGTCTTTCTACATTAAGGTAACGATATGTATGTTTGTCTATCTACCCGCTTACAATTAAAATAAGAAAATAAAAAACTTTATTTACAGAGGTGCTTTATATGCACATAATTTACAAACCTTGTATGTAAATATGTATGTATACACGAAAAAAAAATTTGTTTGGCTATACCGTTAAATATGTATATTAATAAAACAATACTAACTTTTAGAAATCCATAAAAGGCATTCAGCATTGACAACAACCAACTACATACACATACATATACACATGTATCCTTAAGTAGTTAGTAACGTTCTGCCAGTACGAAGATAAACAATTAAAACTTCTTAGCATTCGAAATGCACTACCCAATCTACGGTTAGTAACGCTATGTTAAATAGTATGATTTTATGTACGAGTATTAGTATGTATTTATTGACCAACAGATGTCTCTTTAAATATATAGTTTTCCAAATTTACATTCTCCACTTAATATCCCCTGTTTCCATAACGTACTTATCGACCTATAAATCAATCTAGATTTCTACCTTTTTCACACAACACACAAACAAAAACAAAATATCTAGGTAGTAGGTACATATGTATGTATGTATATCATCCGGAAACTCACCTTGAAGTTGGCGATTTATTAATGCCGTTAGTCCATGACCTTCCACATTTTTCTTCATAATCAACATTGGTTTGTCTTCTGCATCGTCATAATTGCCCGATGGCAAAAACCCGTTACTTGCTATAGACTCACTCACCTAGCATCAAGTGGAAGACAAATGAAGTGGTACATATGTACATATGTATATAGTAGCAGCACAGTTATGGCACCAACCTGAGTTACTTGCATTAGCTTTTTAACGACATCCCGCCCCAAAATATGATCGAAGACCGATTGTAAAAACGGTTCGGCCATTATAGATAATTTTAATTTGTCACGATGCCAAATAAGAACACGTGACTCTTCCATAGCCATTATAGATACCTGTGAAGATTTAGAAATAAAAGTGTGTAAAGGAGGGATGCAAATCCAAAAATCCTTCTTAATCCTATTTAAGTACATACTTGAAAATAATCGTCAGTAGAGACTCCAAACCATTCGGGCGAATCTAGGAACTGATGAGGAAATACTATATGCAAAGCTCTTTGGTTCTGTGATACAACCAATCTGAAAAGGAAAATGTGAAACACAAAATGGAACGAGTACTTAGTTATATGTAGAAATGATATATAGAATTGATTCTAACGGGTGATTTTTTTGAGGTTAGGATTTTCATGCATTAGTA